TAACATTACATAATAAATGCAATTTGAAATTAAATCTTTTGCGCTTTAACTTTCTCATCTTTTTTTTTTTCTATCATTTTACATCTAATATAATTAGTTGAATTTATTTCATTCCTAATAATAATAATAATAATAATAATAATAATAATAATAATAATAATAATAATAATAACAACAACAATAATAATAATAATAATAATAATAATAATAATATAATATAATAATAATAATAATAACAACAATAATAATAAATAAATAAATAAGTTCATTAATAAATTTATTTTACACACATTGTACCTTGAAAATTTATATATATTTATATAAAAACATGATTCTCAGAATTTGAAGCTTTTAGAACAGCGATAAATAAATATCTTCGTGATGATACATGTATATATGTGTGTGTGTGCAAAGATCACGAAGAATAATGGACAAATGCGCTTTATATAAAAATCAAAATTATGATATAAAGGTTACGATTCATATTCTGCGATGGGGGATGGTCACTTTAAAGATAATGCGCTTGAAAAATATGAAAACTCATCGCAAAGACATGTCGAAGAAATGCGACTGAAAATAAAGCGCTTATATTTATGAATAGATGAATAGATATTTGTTAAAAGGCGTGTTGCTAGTTTACCATCGGTTGCACACTTGTGAAAGTATGTACTTAATTTATCTGTTAAAAAAAATCTTATCAAAATGCCGGGAAAAATGTTATTTATTAATCGTAAGATAGAAATATGTCAACATCTATCTCTATATAGTGAATGCATAAAGACATATATATAGTATAGAATATATTTATAAATGTTTAACAAATAATTTTTAATATTAATAACCTCAGTGTTTTTGCGTGTCATGGATGATTAAATTTCATTTGTGACACACATTATTTAGTTTCCGCATCGATTTATTTTAATTTTTCATCATTCGATAAATTAAATTAATCAATATGAATAATCAATATCTTATAAGTATATTTCTTTTTTTCTTGTAGATATATTTCATTTATATAAAAATTACATTTTTACCTCATTTCATCATTTTATATTTATATTACTATAATGTATATAGACAATTTAAGATAAGGACAAAAAGCCTATGATTCTAAAATCATGTATATCTCAATATATATATAAGTCAATGTATTTAATATAAATTAATAATTATACTTTTCTTTTACTTTTTTTCTTTTTATTATTAATCATTAATTACGAACAATATGAACAAAAGTAATATTTGTCGAATAAAAAAAATATGTTGCGTAATGAATAGAATACAAGAGAAAGAAGTAAAAGAAATCAAAGAATGAAATTCTTCAACTAAAGAATAGTTGTAAGAAGTAAAAAATAGTATGATTAATTAATAACAAATCATCATGCGTTAGTATGCTCTTGTATAATTTCAGCGATATGCCATATCTAATTTTAATATTGTAATACTTTTAAGAAATAGTCAATCACGGTTTCTCTTTATATATGTATTCGAAAATTAAAGAATCTCTCTACACATCCATTATTTCTGCAAATAACATCAATTACAAGAATAATATAGCATCCTAAAATTAATAAAAAACTTGTAAATTTAAATACATATAATGTTTACTTGTAAAATATTCTATGTATCTTGAAAATTAATTTAATTTTTTTTTTTAATTCCTAGCAATCCTTAATTATTTGAAGCTAATTAATAATCAATTTTATATTTATTATGTATTTTTTAATAAGAAAGTAATGATTTAATAATAAAACGTTATGATAAAAAAAAATAACAAATTTTTAATATATTTTAGATATTAATTATGTAAATTCATGCAAGAAAAAAGAAAAAAATAAAGAATAAAATTTAATAATTGAATTATAAAAATAATGTAATAAGTGAAAACAATATTTATTGATTAATTAATAATATTTATTATATAAGAATAAACTATATTAATACATTCATATATAATAGATAAAAATTCGTATAATAGACAAATATTAAAAATAAAAATTGTAATTTTCTTACTATTGTAGAATTTTCAATATTCAAATTAGAAAAACAATTATTTGGATAAAAAAAATTTTCAAATAAAACATTTGTATTTCTTTGTAATAATTATTTTGTATTTCAGAAAGACTAATAGTAATAACATAAATACAATATAAATATTAATATTTTTTAAAATTAATTTTTTTTAAAAATTTTATTTTTTATTTTTTGCCATCAAATCATAAATTTTCTTTTAAATTTGCTTCTAAATCATAACAATTTTTATTATGTTATTATGTTACATTATTTATCTTAAATAATTCAAAAATTCTTTTATTAATATAATGATAATCGAATTCATAGAAATATTTGGATAAATAAAATAAATCACTTAATTCTATTTTCTATTAACAAAAAATCTCAAAATGAAAAAATATTAACATAGTATATAACATAACATAATATTTGGATAATATACTATGTGAATCTTATATTATTAAAACACAAGACTTTTTATTAAAAAAAAATTAATTATGCAAATAAGAGATATTATAGATATTTCATCGAGCATTTGTTTGTCATTGTAAATAAAAAATAGAAAGTATTAGAATTATTAAATAGAAAGTATTAGAAAATTATTATGTTGCTTATTTATATATATTATTTATATATTACTTATATATTGAAATTTACTATTAATAATAGATCCAAAAAATCTATTAAAAAAAATGAATAATATTTTCTGAATATGGATAAAAATTGATTTTTTATACTTTTAATTCGATGTATATAAAAACAAATACAATTTTATGTTGTATATATTGTTTTCTTATAATAATTTTTAATATATATCTATTATAATAGTATATTTTTAAAAAATCAATACTTTATTATTCTGTTATTTTGAATGCAATATATTCACTTAAAATGAATTAAGTGAAGAATTTCGTAATTTAAGAATTTCGATTATCTTTAAATAATAATTTTAGTAAAAATTTTTCAGATAAAAATTAAATAATTTCAAAGCAATCACATTAATTTCGAAATCATCTCTAATTTTTTAAATAATAGTTAAAATTTTTTTCATAAAAATAAATGAATAATAATAAAATAAATTCGAATAGAAAAATAAATATAATTTATATAATTTACAATTATTGTATAATTATATAATTTACAATTATGTATAATTATTAAATAATTTTTAATCAAATTTTACTAAAACCGATGCTTCAAATGTTTGATTGTTAAAAAAATAAAAATAAAAATAAAAAAAAAAAAAAAAATAAAAATTTAATTTTCATTCATTTTGAGATTTAAAAAAATATAAAGTATAGAAAAAACTAATAATTTACTATATTATGATCAAGTTGAAATAATAAAAATTTTATATAATCTAAAATATGTTTTAATAAATCATTATTTATGAAACAATCAATATATTTTTATAACATTCTTAGCAATGAAATTAAAATTAATTAAGATATTTTCCAAATAATTTTTTAATATTTGATATTATTTGATATTTATAATATTTATTATGTTTATAAAAAATTATAATTCGAATTGATTTGTAGAATAAAAAATATAATTTCTATTTTAAAGAAAGAATAATTTATGTAATTTATAATTATATTAAATTATTTTATTTTTAATATTATATATTTTTGTCTTAAATATTTTTTTATTATAAATTTATCGTATTTATATTATAATATATATTATTATTATATATATTATTAAAATATAATCAAAATGATTCTAATTACATTCTTCAATTTGCATATTATAATATACACATTTCATTTCTCTATATAGTACTAAAATAAACATTTATGAACAATTATTAATATTTACATGTTTATTTATTATATTATACATATATGGATATACATAATAACTCAGATTGAAAATTATTCATTATGTTTATTTCGTACAATCTATAAAATATAATAAATAAGTACATAAATATATAATATTAGTTGTCGGTAGAAAAAATATTCTATTTATTATTTGATAAATATAAAAGATAATGCAAAATTCTAATATATAATAATAAACCCAGAATCTCCTATAGAAATGAATGAAATATAAAATAATAAAAATTGTCCATCTATAATGTTTGAGAGATTTTCGAAACTAATTTGTAGATTTTTTAAAAATTTATTTCATGATATATCATGATTATAGAAGAAAACAACATAAACTTTTCATTTATAAAAATTTCAGCTTAAAATCATCTTGAGATCATATTTATATTTTGTAATACTAAATAATAAACTAAGAATAGTAGAATTAGATGAGACATTCTATATATGTACGAGATATGATTGATTTTATAAAAGCTTTTTTAAAATATCTATTTTTTAAATTATAGGTTTAAAATTAAATTAAAAATAAGAATAACAAATAAAATTAGAAAAATAAACTTATTAGACAAAATTAAATCTTCAATGTTAACTATACTATACTGTATTTTTTAGAAGACAATAAAATATGTGTTAACGTTAAAATTGATTTTTTTAATTCAAATTATATAAAATTCAATTTATATGAAATAATTTTTATATTTAATTAAATATTAATTATTATTATTTAATATTTTTATTATTTTATTTTATATATATTATTATATATTATTATATATATATATACATACAAAAAATTATCTTATTCAAATTCTAATATATTTATTTTATTATTATATATTATTATATATTTTATTATTATATTAAATTAAATTTAATTGAGATTAATTTATGAATAAGAAATTCATATATATATATATATATATAGTTGATAAAATATTAAATGATAATGAAATTTAGATATTTATATAATTTATAAAATTATTTTTCATAAAATAAAAATTTAATTTTTATAAATTATATTATATTCTTGTAAAAAATTTATTTATTATATTCTTGTATAAATTGAATATCATTTTAAAATTGATGTTCAAATTAATGTTTATTACTTTCAGTATGACATGTAATCATAACCACGTGTTGTGACAGTGATAAATTGAATTTAAGAGTTTTATGAGAATAATAGTATTAACTAATAATTAAATTTAATTGGATCAAAATTATAAAATTTGTACAGATATATACATATCACGGTAATGTTTGAAAATGATATATTATAAATATATATAAGGATATTACAATATAACCTATATACTTGCCGGTTACATTGTTTATTTATAAATCATAAATTATAAATAATTTATAAATTTTTTATTTGTGTATATATTATAGTTAATATATTTATGTGACTTTATATTTATTATATTTAGATTTATAATATAATATTATTTACTATGAATTAATATCAAAATTTGTTAAATTATAAAATTTGTCTTTTATTATTTAATTAATATTTCATAAATTATTTGCAAGTATTTTTTTATTATTATATTTTTATAGATGCTTAAATATCATGAACCAGTATCAGCATTTGCAATGTATGCTATGAAACGCAAAAATACAGAATCATCATCGAATTCAAAAAAATTAAAAAGAAAACATAGTTCTCTTCAAGATAAAAAAGTAGTTTCAATTGGTGATACAAAATTTAAAATACAAGAAAAGACAAAACAAATATCCATACATAAAAATGTTCAAGGAACAAATAAAGTTTCAATAAATAAAATTCCAAATATAAATAAAAAAAAGAATTTAATATCTAAAAAAACTAATTCATCTATAATTTCTAAGAAAAATAAATTAATTAAAAAACCAATACATAAAAAAAAAAATAAGAATATAATCTTAATTTCTGGTTCAAAGAAAGTTGAACCAAAGAAAAAATTAAAAAATTCTGTTTTAATGGTGAATAGAGCTCTTGCAAAAATGAAACAAATTAAACAAAAACAAATTAGAAAAACAAGAGTAATAAAAAGGACCATTCAAGAAACTACTTCTTATTCTAATTGTGAAACATCTGAAGAAAATCATGAGAATCCTGTAAAAACAAGTCGTTCAATGTTTGAATGGTTAATATATCCTATGAAAATAGAGGAGTTTTTTGAGTGAGTTCAAAATAATTAAATTTTTCTAAATCATATGTATTTATAAGTCTCTATGTTAATAAGGAATATGTTATTTTCTTAATGTGTTATTTTCTTCTAGAAAGAATTGGGAGAAAACACCTGTTCATATAAAAAGGAATTTTCCTAAGTATTATAAATTACTTATATCTACTCCAATGTTAGATAAAATATTAAGAGAGTCCTATATTTTATTTACAAAAAATATTGATATTACTTCATATGAAAATGGTATAAGGGAAACTCATAATCCAATTGGTCGTGCAGTTCCAACTGTTGTTTGGGATTATTATATGAATGGATGTTCTGTTCGAATGTTAAATCCACAAACATACATACCAAAATTACATTCATTAAATGGTATTTATTTTTCTGAAATAAATAATTATTAAACAAAAATATTTTCAAGTAAAAATATCAAAATGATTTTAGCTATATTTTTAAATATATTTTCTAATTCATTATTATTAAGATTAATAAGATTTATTTATTATTTTCAGCTACACTTCAAGAATTCTTTGGTTGCTTTATTGGTGCAAATTCCTATCTAACACCACCTAATAGTCAAGGTTTTGCACCACATTATGATGATATTGAGGCTTTTATATTACAAATTGAAGGTAAAAAGAGATGGAGATTGTATAAACCACGAAACCAGAATGAATATTTGCCAAGATATTCTTCAGAAAATTTTTCACAATTTGAGATTGGAGAACCTATACTAGATACAATTGTAAACGAAGGAGATTTATTATATTTTCCACGAGGAACAATTCATCAAGGTGAAACTATCGATAATACACATAGTCTTCATATTACGTTAAGTGTTTATCAGAAAAATAGTTGGGGTGATTTTTTGGAAAAATTACTTCCAAATGCATTAACAGCTGCTATAAAAGAAGACTATGAATTTCGAAAAGGATTACCTATTGATTATTTAAGATATTGTGGATATGTACATTCTGAGATTCAAAATAATTCCAAAGATAAATTCAAAGAAAAAATAAAACATTTACTTAGTAAATTAATAGATTATATTGACATTGATGAAACTGCAGATTTAATGGCAAAAAATCATATTCATGATTTTTTACCACCTGTTCTTTCTGAAAGCGAACGGGAATGTTCTGTTACTCAAGATGGTGAAAAAATGATTGAAAATGGAATTGTTAATAATAGAGTAGAAATAGAACCTGATACTAGATTTCGGTTAGCAAGATCTCATTGTATAAGGTATGACTCAATACAAATTAGTGATGTATATAATTTTGAATTTTGAATTCATCATTATAAAAAATTAATTTTTTTACAATTATACAATATTCAAAAATCATATGCAAAAAATTATAAAATCATATAATATTTTAATATTTATATTTTATTTTTATATTTTTTTTTAGATTTATATTTAAATCCATAATTTTAATTAAATTTATATATTTAATATGAATATTATTTTTATTATAGATTAATTAAAGAGAATGAATCATTTAAAATATATTATTCAAGTGAAAATTCTAAAGAATATCATGAGTATGAATCACAATTTTTAGAAGTTAGTGAAGAATTTATACCTGCTATTCGAAAAATGATATTGCAATATCCTAATTTTATACGTGTAGAAGACTTGCCAATTAATGGTGAAGACAATAAGGTAAATACAGAAATATAATAATTATTTTAAAGTAACATTATAATATATTACATTATTTTTATATGACAAATTAATATTCTATAAATTATTTTTATTTGATAGATACAAATAGTCAAAGATCTTTGGGAAAAATGTCTTATAGTAACAGACAATCCATTATGTATATTGGAATAATTGTATATTTTAAGTAATTTGTACAAAAATTAAAAAAAAAATAAATATTAAAAGTCAAAATTCTTAAAAGTATTATTATTAACTTAATTTTAATACTTTATAAAAAGAATTAATTAATTCTTTATAAAAAAAATAATAAATATATAATATAATTATATATAATAAATATATAAATATATAAAATAATTTGACATAACAATATAAAACATATAAAAATAATATAAAATACAAAATAATACTATAATATAAAATATATTGCTTTATATAAGATTGTTTATATATTTATACAAAATTACACATATAATAATTTTCATAATTGTAAGGATTTTTAATATGAATAAAATATTAGTAAAATATAATTAGTAAAAATAGAAAGTTATATTACAATTATAATTTATTGATTATAATTTTAGAAACGAGTAATAAATTATTGTATAGTTTATGAAAAATATGAATATGAATGAATATGAAAAAATATATATATTTAAAAAAATATTTATATTATTCTTTCTTTTATAATAATATCATTTAAAAATATTGTACGAAAGAAAAAATTAATTTTTATATAACTTTGAATGTAGATTGAATTATTTGAATATAGAATAAAATATTCAAGGAACAATTTTTTTTGATATTTTGAAGAAAGAATTATTTTGAACAAAGTTGATTTATAATATTTTTTGTTTTTAATAATAAGATAATAAATCACAAATAATGATCTTAAGTTTACAAATAATTGTACTAATTTAAAATATATAATATATTAATAATTAAATATATAATATATATATAAATGCAAAATTATAATATTTATTTATTTATCACATAAACTATTCTGGTTGAATATTTTATCTGATTTAGAATTTAATTATTTCTAAAAATTTATTTAAAAGATAAAGTTATCTTTAAAAAAAGCTGAGTATACAATTATTTAGATAATAAATATATATCTTTTCAAATAAGAAAAAAAAAATGAATAAAATAAATAACTTGCTGTATTACATTAAAATTACTTGTATTAAAATTTATAGTTTTTGTACATTTCAGTAGAAGAAAATTATTATAAATAAATCGAATTTAAAAAAAAATTTGTTTGACATAAATTTTAGACATAAATTTATATATTACATAGTATTTTGTAATACATTTTATTTATTAAGAATTTTTTGAATTAGATATATTTTTATTTGTCCGATTTGTTATTTCGTTTTGCTTGAGCAATGTGATCTCTTTGTCTTCCAAGAACATATTCGATATATCCAATGTATCCATCATGATCCACGTCATCTTCTCTGAGTACTCTATCCACAAGTTCTTCATAACAGAAACAAATATTACTTTTTATTCTATATTGTATTTGTATCTACATAAATTTTAATTTAATTACAAATATTTAATTGAAATTGTTTAATAAAATTTAATAATTATTTTGATATTTTATTTTTATATATTATCTAAAATATATTTGTTAAACTCATTTTATGGTATTAAAAAAAAAAAAAAAATTTAAAAGATACAAAATGGAAAATATCTAAAGGAAATGTATTTTAATGTTTATAATGTATTATATTTTATGCTACTTTAGGATTATTACATATTATTCATATAAGATTTATTTTTAATCGCATTTAAATACAAATAAAAAAATTTTTGCTGTAATCAAAAAATATTAGACTTTCATACATTTAAAATATTACTTTTCTTTTTTTCTATTTAAAAAAATAAAATTTAATTATATATTATTTTTTATAATATTTACATAATTAATTTTTGTTTAGATATGATAATAATTTTAGATATACAAGGAAATAAAAATTTTGTTTAAGAAATTTAAAATAATTTTTATATTTACAATAAAGAAGAGAAACAAATATTTATAAAATTTCTTAGAATATTTACAAAATTTATTGAAATCATTTTGAAAAAATTAAAGAGAATAATTACGTTTAATAAATGTTTTAATAATGTTAATTTTTAATAAATGTTGATTTTAAAATTTAAATTTGTCTTTAAATATCAATTTTTTAATTGAAATAAATTATAGCAAACATAATTATTCCAGCAATATAAAAAACAAATTTTTAAACGTATATAAACTTAAATTTTTAGATGTAATAAAAAAGAAAAATTAATATTATACTTTAATATATACTATAATAATACTTTAATATTATAATAGATGGAATTTTGTAATAGATAAATCTGAATTTTAAAAATCTGAATTATCTTTATAATTTAACGCTCTCAAAACTAATAGTGAATAATTTTTTACTTATTTACATATTAATGAATTTAAAGAATATCAAGAATAAATAAATATTTTATTTAAAAATATGGAATATAAAAAAAATACATATTAAAATAGATAATATTAAATATTAAAATAAAATTATATTATTTTAATTTTATTTTAATTTGAAAATAATTTTGTGTATAAATATACGATGAATAAAAATTTTCTTTTTTTTTTTTTGTTTTTTAATCTATTATTGAAAAAATTATATATAATTTATTATATACAATTAATTTACATACCTACGATCCAGGGCAAATCATCTTCATAATCCATAGTTTTCATGTTTTCGTTTGAATTTTCACGTTTAGCATTGGCAAGTCTGTTTTCGTGAAATGTATGTTGAATCGCGTAAAGAATTTCTAATCCGTCCAATTTGGCATTATTGTCGATATCGTGAACTCTACGATTAATATAGCAATTGAAATTGATTTCAATTTATAATACATGGAATTATTAACATTATTAATATTTATTCAATCAATAATTTTTATAATATGTAATCATAAAAAATCATTAAATTTTTTAATGATTCATATATATATATATGAATTCTTTGATAAGATAAAAAGTTTTCATGAGATAAAAAACTATTATATTTAACAGAAAAAAATAATCCACATACATTCTTGATTATATAAATATTATAAATTTTATACAACATCAATAGTTGTTTAAAATCGAAAACGAACTTATTATTCAACTCAATATTTAAAATACAAAAAATTTTCTTATAAGATATCGGATATATTATTTTTAAAAAATTTATAACATATAATGAAAAATAAAGATATTATTTATAATTTATTAATATGAACATACTTAAAATAGTGGAATTCGATCTCCTGTTCAGTCATATTCGAAAAGTCCAATTGGTCCGCCATTGATCCTATATCTTCTTTTAAATGGCTGGAATTTCGTTTTTATATTTCGAATTTCTGTAGCATTATAGATCGAATAAAAAATATGAATAATGCAAATTATATTGAAACTAAATAATTTATGATAAATATAATGTACTTCATGCATATTTTAATCACATAATTGATAAACTTTTGATGCGTTTTTAGATATTTGATTATAAGATGATAATGAGCAAAAAATTGTATTTTAGCAATTATATGCATACTTAATAAATTTTCAAAATCATTTTTTTTAAATAATTTTTCAAATTTAAAAAATATCAAATTTTTTACTTATTTTCATATACGAAAATTTTTTTTAATTATATATTAAGAATTTGAAAATTTAAATTAATTTAAATGTGTTTTGTAAAGTATATATCTTACATATCTTAAGCTGCATCTTCACTAAAGCAACAAGGACATATTTTTGTAGATGTAAAGTTTGAAGAAACAATTGAATAGAAATAAAAACAATAAAAACAAATATTTATATAATCTTATGTATTTTGTTGCTTGATTTACAAGATATTCCCATCATAATGCGATTTATACAAAGTGTTAATATATTCGTGATCACATCTTTGCATGGTTGATCCAAAAAAATTGGTCAAATACAAAAATATCAAATTAAAAAATATATTTTACTAATAATATATTTAATATATCATTAATATATCATTAATTAAATATAATTCATTTTTTTTAATATATTCAACTGTTTTTAATTGCTTTTACTAGTTTTGATATTCTGGTTATCAATTTTTTCATTATTTCATACTTAATATTTTTCCATTCAATTTGTAAAAGTTTTTATAAACATATTTTTAATTTTGAATACTTTTCTTAAATTTGTTTCTAAATGATTCCATAATGTATATTACTTATAAATTATAAATATTATTTTATAATAATTTACATTGTATCTCAATTCATAGACATAGTGGTAATTATTCACTTATTTCTGAACATTGATGTATGATTATCTAAAATTTTGAAATACTATTATTGAACAATAATTATTAAGTTAACTAAAAAGTTATGAAAAATATGAATATTTGATAAATATAAAAAATTTCGAATATTATTAATTTAATAATAATTTAATAATTTAATAATTTAATAATAAATCATCATTGATTTCATCATTGACTTCATTTTTTTTTACCATTAACATAACAATAAATATTATTATAATTATAAGGAGCAAGTTTTCTTCAACCTGGAACAAACTATTTGCTTACGTACAGATAACTTTAATAATGAACATAATTTTAAAATCAAAATTTATGTTTTTTATATTATATTGGACTTTAATATGGGCAAAATATTTTCACAATTTGACATTTGTTGGATATTTTTTAAAAATAACAGCATACAGCAAAAAAATTTTCATCGTTGTTTCAACGAGGACACAGCTTTAGACATTACATTTTGTGCGAAAGCCAGATGAAAATACAATAAAGACTTTTTAGATGAGAAGTTAGTAATTTATTTAAATTTTTGTAAAAATTTTTTTTAAAAAAGAAATCCAATACAGTTAAATTCGAAAAACATGAAAGATATTTAATACAAGAAATTAAATTGAGAAAACATAGATATTTTATCAAAAGAAATAAAGAATTCTATAACAATGGAATAAATAAAAAACTAATAGTGAATACAAATCTACCAAAAATTATTTTTATATTATGTGCACATAAATATTCAAAAGATCATTACAGAAAAAAATGAATATTATATTTATAATTTTTTTGTTATATCTAATAAATGTATATAAATAATAAAGAACAATAATATTAAATATTATATGTCACAATTTACTAAATATTATAATATGTACATGAGAAACATTTTATTTAAAAAAATCAAAATTTTATATTATTTAGAATTTTGAATGAAAAGTATTTTTTAATATAAAAATGAGAGTTTTTTAATTAAATATTTTGTTATTTTATTTAATATAAATATAAAAATATAAAAAAAAATATTTGAATATTAAATTAAATATCATCAAAAAACAATGAGTTTATTGTCATATTCTTTTATTTTAATCATTGAATGTTATATGCAGAATGAAATATTATTATTTTATTCTTTACATTTCTTTATATTTACTATTTTATTAAAAAAGTTTTTGAAAGTTTATGAAAGTTTTTAATTACGCAAGTATTGAATAAAACTTAATAAAAGAGTGTTCAATACTAATATTGAAAAATGTATAAATCAAAAAATCATATGAAGTGTAAGTGATAATCTGGGATATTATTCTTAGAATTGTTTATATTAAAATTTATATATTTTTAATATTAAATTAAAATTATTTTTTTGTTCATTACAGAATTCATTACATTGTTTAATATTCATTAAATTGGCATAATGTAAAATAGAAACGTATTCAAATATAACGTAATTCAAATATCTTATATATTTAATCTCTAAAAAATAAATTATAATTTAATTAAAATAATTTTTTTTCTTAAATTTACTTAAATTTACTTTTCTTCAATTGTTATTAAGATTCAACTAATTCAAAAAGAAAATTATGAGAGAGAAACTTTTCAAGGAATTTAAATCTATTTAATGATCCTCCTTTTTTGTTATAAAATAAAATTATGAACAATAAATAATAAAGTGAAATAAATATATATTTAATTAAAATAGTAATAATTTAATAATATAATATAATAATAATGAATCAAGTAATAATTTAAATATTAACTAACGTAGCATCCTGTAATAATTCTGTATCTTGCGTTATTTTCACGTCTTTTTGCGGGGCGTAATGATGGTGAGAAACAGCGCTTCGCGGATGATGTGGTCCACGTAAACCAGTCGAAAATCCAATGCATAAACCGATCATAATTGTAGTTATCATTTGTCTGAAACAGTTTAATAATTAATAAATAACATATAATATAAATATATATATAAATATATTACAATTATCTATTAATTTTGAAATATTTTTGAAATTTATTAAATTAGAATTGAAAAAATATTATTATTTCAATTATTAATTTCATTATTAATATAATAAATTTATAATTTAATATTCATTATTAATTCAAAAATATCTAACGAAAAAAAAAATTCAAAACAAAAATAAAATATTATTTTCACTTATAACTTTTATCAGGATAGTCCAAAGATGAAAATTTTATTTTTATAATTAAAAATTCTATTATTAAAAAATAAGTTTGTTAAATTAATTATTTATTATAATAAAAATAAATAAATAATATGTATGTATATAGTTAATAAATGTCAAATTATTAAATAATATGAGGTGTATATAATAAATAATGATAAATAGAAAAAAATATTACACGTATAAATCGAAAAATATAAAAATGTGAAAAACTGGATGACATTCTGCGATATTCCTTACAATACTCAATAACAATAGGACCTGCTGAGACACGATGATCGTCTACGTTGCCCCAGCATTGTCCACTGTCACTTGTAGGGGTTGAACACCCTTGGCTAACGACAGATGGACGGTAGAGGGGGTCCTAGTAATTATTATGCGATTACCCACAAGCCCATTGATTTAGATTGGACCCCGGGGGGTGCAGTGCACGATGCTCTGGGCCCGTCTTCAAATTTGCTACACATCACTCGTCAAGAACTTTGCAATCGTTTAAAACTCTATGAAACGTATACACTGATAGTTGTAAAATGATATGTCTTTTTTCTTCTTAATATATTTAGTTTCTAAGAAATTAAATTATAATTTAATTATAATAATTTTTTTGTTTAAAATTTTTTTTAACTATTACTATTCGCATTTGAAAATAAAATTCTTGAGAGTTGTAATCAAGAATTATTTTTCATTTTAAAAAATATTGCATTGAAAGTAATGATTATTCGATATTAATTCTCATATTTAATGAATTTAATAATTCAAGTGAGCTAATTATAATTGATTAAGAATTAAAAATTTACAATATTTATCGGTAATAGATAAATTTCTTAGAAAAAAAGAAATTTAATTATAAAGGATTTAATAGAAAATATGAATGTTTTTTTTCAAATTATAAGAAACATTCCATATATTTTTCTTCTATTTCAATATTGAAAACACATTAATATATTAATTTTCAAATATTTCTTTTTTATAACATCAATTTCCTATTCGTAGTCATAAATTTGTTATCATTGATGAACAAAATATATTTGAATGTCCCGTTGAAAAAAATCAAAATTTTTTATTTACATTTAAAAGAACTTATATGCAATATTAAACATTAAAAATTTAAAAATAATATAAAACAATATAACGTATGAAAATTCGTACGAAAACATAACGTACGAAAATTTTACGTATAAAAAATTGATTTTAAAATGTATTCATTAATTATTTTCTATTTTTTTTATAATTAGTAACAATTATATATATACAAATATTTATAATAGAATTAATTTTTTTTATCAATTTAAATTAAAACAAGACAATAATAAATATAATTAAACTAATAACAAATATTACTTTAATTAAATCAAACAAAAATAAATATTATAATTAAATAATTAAAATCATTACCTAAATAAATAATTTTATATTTCATTTATAAAAATATTTTTCTTATTTTACAATATATATTTTATTGTATATTTTATAATATATTTATATTTTATATAATAGATCATCTACAATTTAGTACTTTTTAATTTTCTGTTAGAAAGATAATCAAATTATTCGTAAATAAATTAATTCTTAGTTATAAGAATAAAAATTTCACAAAAAAAAAAAAAATAAAAATAAAAAAAATACTTGTATATAGTGTAGTTTATATGTACATATATGTACATATATATGCGTTTGTATGTATTTTATATATGTTTTATAAGTATTTCATATATGTTGAATTATATTTTTTGAATTAAATTAAATATTAATTAAATTGAATTAAATTAAATATCCTTAGTAATAATTGTAATAATATATTTAAAAATATATTTAAAAAAATAAATAAAATAAATAATGTTAAGGAAAGACAAATAATATGATAATTAAATATTTCTTTATCAAAATTTAAAAATTAATATAAAAATCAATCTAATATAAAAAAATATATACATATTACTTATTATATACATAATATATAATAATTTAAAAAATTAGTTAAGAAAAATGTTTTGAATTATCTTAATGAAATCTATATAGGTTTTGATAAATATATAATGAATAAAGATTTTGAAATAATTTTTTTCGAATAGTAAAAGTGGTAGTAAGGGAAGAGCAAAGTGTCATTTTTAGTCATGTTTACACTCAAATCGAACACTCGTGAATATTTGTGTAAAGAACAAATGAAGATAGGTGTTAAAAGACACGCGAGATTGACAGGAATCCAGGGTACTTAGGAATCAATTTTATATAGGCTTATGGTGGCCGAGTGAAAATGCATATGTTGAGGGGGCCTCAAGGGGCTTTCGATGCAAGTGGACCCCCCCGGGGTATACATCCCAGTTGGAACAGAATACCCTCGATTCCCCCTCCTCACTTTGGTGTCGAAATCTATAAATAATTTATATCATTTGGTCCATTCACTGAAAGAGCCCATATGTACCTGTGTCGCCTTACAGGGGACCTAGATTTTTTTCCCTGGAATATCGCTTCGATCAAAAATCTCAATCGAGAATATATATAATATATGCATTCAAATACTATTATTCATTAATATTATTATTGTATTTATATTAATAATATTATTGTATTCATTAATGGAATAAAAAAAAAACAATGTTAATTCAATCTTCATCATCATTGACTTAATATTTAATAAAGATGTATTTCTAATAATTTATGATATTTTTTGCGAGAGCGATTCTCTGACATGTATAAATATACATATTTGAGATAATGATAATTGTGATTATCGATATGTTATTGATAATTTTTTATATATTCTGATAATATCGTTGAGATATTGTAAATAGACGAAATTATATTGAAATACAAATGACTAGAATATTTTTTCTTATTCAAAGTTATTATTAAGATATTTAAAAATGTTATTTATGTTATTATTTACTTATTGAGTTTCAATAAAAATAAGCTTTATTAAAAAATTATATTGCAGTTTACTTTAGTTATTTCTACTTGTGTTATTGACTATTTTAACGATATTTTAAATATATATAATAATCAAATTATTAGTTATCATTGATAGTCATAATTCTAAGAGAGCAGATAGTAAATTGAATTTACATGTAATAATTGTTTTCAGAGAATAATATAATTGTGTAATACTTATTTATAAATATTTATTTCCTTCATAAATTATTTCCTTCATTAAATAAATAATCTCTATTTTTTAATAAATGTGAAATATTTCTGAAAATTTATATATCAATAAAAATGATAGAAAAATTTATGTTCGTATTTTTCTTATCTTTTATATAATATTTAAGCTTTATAACATTTATTTAAGCTTTATAACATTCAAAAAAATATTCAAAAAAATATTTCTTAAACTAATTTTTTTTTGGAAATTATTATTATGTAATTAATATTAATTATTTTTTTAAAGAATGCAATATTGCTTAAATTCTAATATGCAATCTTAATTATTGAATTTTTAATTGAATGAGTAATACAGAAATCAAATTTCATTGTATTTCATTTGATTCGTAAATAGTTAATTTATTGATTCTACATTTAATACATTAAATAGATAAATATAAATATTTTATAAATATAATTAATATATATATAAATATAAATATAATTAATAAAAATCTTTTAGAAAAATCTTCTTAAAAAAAAATGAAAAAAATATATGAATTGGAAGGAAACCATATTTGATTAATAACAAATAAAATTATTCAATTTCATGTAATTAAATTTTGCTTTAAAAATAAAATAAATCAAACAAGAATTAATATGGGGTACCTGCTGATATGAAATATTGATGATTGATTCATTGAAATGAAATAAAATTAAAATGATCTTTACAAAATAATAAATTCAATTTATATTGATAGGATTGATAAATATTTTTAAATATTGAATATATTTGACATTACTAGTTAATTACATTGTCAATTTATTTTTGTCTCTTATCATAATTTATTGCGATAACAATACATATTTTTATTATTATATTTTTCCATAATTTTCCAATTTATACATATTTTTCTTTTATTTATATCCATAAAGAATATACTTTAACTGAAACATTAAATTTGACTTTGTTATCATATAAAAGCAATTTATATCTTTCAAAGCAAGTTTTATAGATAAAAAAAAACTTGTTTACTTATTCAAGTCATTGTAGAATAATATGTATTATATAAAATAATTCATATATAAAATATTTTTCATTTGTTTATCAAGATTTAAATATTCTTTTTCTCATATTGAAAAAAAATGAAAATCAATAAATTAAATAATGTGAATTGTTTATATTAAAGCGAAAAAATAAAGAATGAAAGATTAATTTACATTTGAATCTGAAAAATAATATAATATGTAATAATGTTTTGACATTTCTTCTATTTTGATATTTGTCAAAAATATTTTTAGTATAATAAAATCTAATAAAAATTTATAAATAAAAAAATATTTTTAAAAAATTAATCATTAGAAGAATAAAATTATTATTCTCTTGCTTATTAAACATTTTTATATATTTAATCATTATATATATATTTAATCATTATATTTGTCTAAAAAGAAATGAATACATATTTTGCGAATAAATTTTCAAATAACCCGCTCTTTATCTCTCAAAATTCAATATTCATAGATATCTCGAAACATACTCTCGAATCGAAGAAATTAGAACCTATTTTGCTTCAGATTAGGTTATTCTATCTTAACCTTTAACCTAACCTAACCTTAATTTGAGATTGGCACCGATGTTTTTTAGTCAACTTGAATTGTGCGAATTTAATGCGCATAAAGAAATTAATAAATTGTATCATTTACCTGGATTTAATGATCGACTGTTGAATTACTGATCTTGGAATATGAGTCGAACTTCTGTTCGATTTTTTGTGGTCGATCTTTTCAATAATGTTTTCAACTGGATTTTCTTTTCTGTAACGCGCGTGACATTTATCGACGTTCTTCATGGAGTTTGCGTATTCGAAGAGTTGCTCGTTATACTGTTCGTTCATAAAGCGGGATATTTTGCTTTTGAATTTTACAAATCGATTTATTTGTATATTTTGAAAATCGAAAAAATATTAATTACAACGAATAAATTTATATCTTGAAATATATCTTGAAATATTTCAGAAAAAAAACAAATTTAAATGCAAATAATTGATCCCTTAAAGATCATTAAATCATTTAGATTGTTATATAACATGAAATGATCGATTTTATAAATATATAAAATTATTCAAAATATAATATCTTAAATATACAATTAAGTAATATTTATTACATCTTAACTATGTTTATATATGTTTAAAGTTAAATAAATATATATATAAAATTTAGATAAAATAATTTTATTATTATTGTTTTATTGTAAAAAAAAAAAAACATGTTTCAATATCAAATTTGAATAAAAATATTTAGTAATGAATTTTTATAAAATTATGTTAAAAGAATAAACAATTTTTTTTGTGAAAAATTTATATTAATAAAGATAGACAAAAAATGAAGTTAAACAATCATTTTCAATGAAGCTATAAATGTCAAAAATCTTATAAAATTAAGAATTCGATCATTTCATTTGCAAAAAACCTAATAGAATATTTTATGTAAATACTTTATAAATAATATGAATGTTTATAAATTTTTTTAAAAAATAATTTTTACGATAAATATATATAAAATTATTTAATACTGCAGAGATGAAGTAAATACGTTTAATTATTATTAGAGTTATAAACTTTAAAAAGAATATAAAATTATTTGTATTATTCAGCATTATATTTATAAACAGCATTGATATTTGATATAATAATTAATAATATAATTTTTTTTTTGATAAAAATGATTAAAATTATGTTTTAAATATTTTTTTTAAAACTTCATTTTATTAGATAAATGAATTAAGTAAAACTGAAATATTTCATTTTGATTTTAACTAGACATATGAATTGAATAAACTTGAAATATAAATCTTATGTTAAAATTTATTTTAAAATAAAATAACTGAATTAGAAAGTGAATTTTTATGAAAGTTTATTTTAGTGAAAGTTTAAAAAAGTATCATATTCTTATATAAATAAAATATATATTAAATTAATTTATTTTANAATTTTACACATTTAATTTTGAAAAATTTATTTATACTATATTTTGATTATATGTAGATGTAGATGTTTTTTTATTATATGTTCTTTTTTTTAAAACAAATTATGCAATAAATTATTTTTTTTTACATCTGATCTTTACTGTTTATTTTTATGAAATAAATACGATTTAGGTTCTTAATTTAAATTTCCTATTAAATTACTATAATTTAGTACTTATGAATATATTTTTATCAAAAAAAAAAAAAAATTTTTATATTGTTTTTATTATTTCATTTTCAGAAGTTAGGATTTAATTTAACTTAAACTGATATTTTAAAAATAAATTAATGTAAAAAATGAAATTTAATTTAGACAAATATTTTTAAATAATCCAGCACTTTTTACATTGAGTTAGATCCACTTTGCTATATAAATTACATTATATTCTGGTTTTCTATGATAGTTCATTTTTTCCTAAAATTGTCAGATACGCCGAAATCCATCAAGATAAAAAATTGGCTGAAAATGAATATAGGCTTTCCTTATTCGTTTTTTTTTACTGATGATTCCATTAAATTTCCAATAACAAAAATGTTGATATTTCATCGTCAAACTATTCACTTTTATTCAAAAAAATATTTGAATTTTTCTATATCGAGTTGAAAAAAATACAATAATTATTAAAAAATTTTATTTTATCTATTTACTGTACATAGAAGTAAAAAATAAGAGATAAATTTATTGTATTTTGTATTTAATTTAATATATATTCAAAGTTAAAAGATTAAAAAAATTATTGTTTTTATTATTTTAAAAATAACAATATATAATTATCAGTTCAATAATAAAAATTTTGTAAAAAGAGTAGATAAATAGACAATCGATAAATTAAGAAAAAAAATTTTTTAGAGATTAGCTTTTCTGCTCCAAAAAATTGATGAAAATATAAACAAAGAAATTTTCGTTTTTTTATTTATTTATTTACTTTTATTTCTTTATATTATTATTTAATATTATTATTTAATATTATTTAATAAAGATATTTTTCAAAATGCAACAATAAACAAATGCAAGCATTATTTTTACAATTAGAGCGATGAATATTAGATATAATATTTGACTACAAGAGGAAAGAATTTTTAATAAATAAAGGATAACATAAATAAATAAATGAAAAAATGAAAACTTTTGATTTTTTTTGCACAATTTTCTGCATAATGGAGCCAAAATGATACTTTATCGGTTTCTTATATATTCTTGCAGTTTTGACATTTTTTATTAACGATATTTTCGATATATGTAAATCAATATGTAGATTTACAATATATATGATACGATATAATGAAAAAAACGTCTAAGTTTTGTTTTTATATCCTAAATCAAATATATCAATTATAAACAATTATTATCTTTCAATCTTTGAATTTTTAAATTGCAATAAAAAAATATCTCCAAAACATAAATAGAATAAGATACATAAGATACAGAACATAATAGAATAAACAGAACATAAATAAATCAATATTTTCATAAACGAATTTTTTAAGATCAACTTTATACATTCAAAATTGAATATATAAATTGAATATTTCATTTAAAGAAATGTAGTTGATCTTGAAATCTCCTCTATTATTCGATCTATAAATAATTTTTGTTAAAACATTTTTTGGATAATTAATTTTAAACTTTTGTAAAATGTTCGATCGTATATAGTTAAACGAAACACTCTATATATTTTCATGTTTGTATCGTAATTAACTAATTAACTCGAATAAAAATTATATGAATTGACAATCTGCCGTGTATGTATTTCGTTCCTTCGAAATGAAATGATATCACGTATAATAATCGTAACAAGCAAAATAACTTCATTAAAAGCATTTGTTGCAAATGACATTGCATGTGTGCGTGTAAAACAAAAGAAATCGGTTTGACCATTTCGAGAGACATGTAAAATCAAGAGCTTTGAGAATTTAAATTTAAATGGTAATATTCTTTTATCATTTTGAAAAGACATTCTATAATATGTAATATCGTATAATGAAATAATTACAATAATTATTTTCACGAATAATATTTATTAATTTATTAATTTAAAATTTTATTCATTATCATTTTATTCATTTAAATTATTATCAAATAATTTAATTTTTTGTATCCTTCTAGATAATTGTGAAATTTTGCTGTCATTAATTTGCGTGTGCAAATTATACATGAAGTATTTCGTACGAAACTGTATATTTGGAAAATGTTATTATTTTTCAAATCTTTCTTTTTTTAATTCTTTAAAATTTAAATTTAAGTATCGAGTTAAACGAAATGAATTTTAACCCTTAAGTGTTTAAATTCAAGAAATTTATGTATATAAGAGGGTATATATAAGGTTCAAAAAGTTCGATATAAAAAACGTTTAAAATTACACAAAGATCAATTTGAATAATTTTATTAACCTTTTAACATTAAAACAATTTGAACCATATTTAAATAACATAAAAAAATTTTTTCAAAAATATTCATTTGCGAAAAATCTAAATTATCCTATTTGGAGCTTTCTATTATTTTTAGATTTGATCTAATCAATTATCTTTAGATGATTGATTGTCAGTCATTTTATTATTTTTTTTAAATTTATTTTTCACTTGAAGTTTTTTGTTTTGTTTTAATATTATTATATTTTCTTTATTAATGTTTTTTATTAATTTTATTATTATATTAATTATTTTTAATTAGGTATATCGTAGTTATGCGATATATATATGATATTATACATATATACTTTTTATCATTATAATATAATCATATATGTATATATATTATTCATTTCTAAGAAATTTTCAGTAAATAATAAATAATAAATATATTATATTTTTGCCAAATAATTATTTTTATTTTTTTCTAAAAATGCTTAAATATGAAAATATTTTATTTTTTTTCTGTTGCTGATTATTTTTGTAAATCATATATTGTTATGTCAAGTGAGATTTTTTTCTATTGAATCCTATTATATATATTTCATTTAAAAAGAAACGAAGATGTTTTATTATATATATAACATCATATTACCAAGCATTTTATATAGTATAAAAACAAAATTAATTTGTAAATAGTAATATTTTTTATGCACGATTTTGAATCTTCATGGATAGCGAAATGTTACATAAATCAATTCTTTATTTCAAACTTTCTGATGAAGTATTTCGTATACTAATGAAAGATTCACGAGATACTTCGTCCATCATAGCATCGTAGATGGCGTCATGATAGCCAGATATCTCGTTCACATTATTGTATCTATAATATCATAAATATGAAGATAGATGGAAATATCTTATTCTTTTAACAACGAAAGAATTAACAATCATATAGATATATAACATGATACATTTATAATAATATATTTTGATAAAGAAATTTTTTTTGTAAAATATACACAATGATAAGATTTATTAAATAAATAAATATTCAAAAAAAATAATTACTGAATAATAAATAACAATCAGATAATTTTAAAAATAAAGAGAAAATAAAAGACAAAAGAAATAAAGACAAGTTATATAATATGTTATATATTATATATTAGATAAGAAAGTTGTATCATTCTTTTTAGAGATAAGAAAATATACAAATATATATCTTATAAGATATATTATTTTTCTGAAAATGATAAACAAGAGAAAAGTTACAAAAAAAAATTTGTATTATTTTTCGTAAATAATATATTGATAAATAATAATATATATATGAAATATATAAATTTTTTGTGGTTGTATATTTTTTAAGATAAGACAAGATCAAAAGTAAGACAAATAATTCAATCATTTTATAATACTGTATTCAATTACATATACTGTATAATA